AAACATAAGAATCAAATTTATAAAACTTAAACAATAAACATAAAATTGTATAAATAATAATAATCTTAATGTTTTTTTCTGATGTAAAAATAGCAACGTTTTCTGAATCAAACATAAATGATATAACATAAGAATTATTGTACAGATTAATTATGCAATATGATGTGCCGTACATGTTTTATATATACATATATAGTTATTTATTGAAAAGTAATTTTATAATTTCATATAAAAATATATGCATTTCTAAATGTGGTATATGTATTTTGGTGTACGTATTTTTAATTTTGATTAAAAAAGTTGTTTGTCAAAAATTGTTTGGATTAATATTTCTTTCCAATTTTTCTATTACCTTATTGCGACGAGTCCAAAGTTCATATTAATATCATTTCGAAAACCTGGGATTGCGACAAGTTGCAGTTTCGGAACTTTCATCTTCTTAAGAGGTTTAAACCATTCAAATTTCAACTTCATTATGATTTTATTTGAAACTCTTTCCGCAAATTGTACATGCTCTGAGTCTGGATTGCGCCAGAAGTAATCCTTATCTATGCCATTATTGGGATAGAAATGCATCGATGAAATCATAACCATCACGAGATGAGCAGATATAGAAGGAGTGGTGTCGAAGTATGTCCATTGCATACATATTTCTGTATTATTTAATTTATGTTTGTATATTTTCTCTTGTCGTATCGGCATATTTGAGAAAACTGAATAATTGCAGTGATGCTTTATGGAAACGTCGAAAGTGGCTCTTATTGGCTTGTCCCAATATGGGAACAATCGTTGGGCCTCAATCGTCGGGAAATTTGTTTCGTTCCATCTACGATATTTTAAAGTTATTAATTCGAATGACTATCAATGTTTAATTATTTATCGATATAGAATCATCTAACATATATATCAATGATATGTTAAAAAGTATTATACCATATATATACTGTTTTAATGACTGTTTTAATGAGGTAATAGAACAAACATGTCTTGTAAAAAGCAGTAATAAATAACATTTAATAACACTGTGCTTTTAATATATTAACATTTACTTACTTTTCATTTCCTGATTTTTTTATATATGTAGTCTTTAAGATAATATTATCGTCTTCTGAGGTATTAATTGCATTAAGAAATATCATATTCAATATGTAATTTTTAGGTAATAATACAGTTTCAAAATGAAGAACACAAATTTGCGTTACATTATCATATACGATTTTTGTCGGTACATGAGAATAATATTCTTCTGGCTTAAGATTAATAACGTCTTTTTCCATCAATCCTATTGCTAAATGGCGAATTGAATTCGATGAATTTAAACTTATTTTTATAGTTGGATGAAAAATATGAATAGTGACATTGATTTCGCCATAGAAGACAACTCTGCCGCTTGCTTGATGCCCTTTTATATATGTATTAAGGGTTAGATATAAATAGGCTAGATATTCGTCATAGATTTCATCGTCTTCTTTGAAATAAGGTATTAATTTGACGTTGTAATGCATTGGTATTACATCCAAAAAGGTATCATATGTAATCGATGTATCGATGATATCTTCTGTATTTTTATCGGCAGAAAGTGCTGTCGCGATGATAAATATGAGACCGCCATAAAGTAACAGTCTTAGAAACGCCATATCACTTATTTAGATGCCTACAATAACTTTCTTTGTTGAAAAAGAAACAAATATAAATTCAAGTTGAGACAATGAAATTTACAGCAGACAAATCTAGAAAATATTAACTATCTCCGAAGAGATAATTAGTTTCCTTGAGTAACAACAAATTTCATCCGTATTCAATATTTCTATGATAGATCGACCTATGTTTATCAACATGTTATTTTCAAAATTTGTTGTTTCATTTTTTAGATGGTTATGTCCTCAGTGAATTAGTGACACAAAACTATCTAACGGAAAATTAATTTTTTTTCAACTTTTTTGATATTTGTATGTTTTCAGATATATACATATAGGGAACTGATCGAACACGATTTGATTATTTTACTTATATGTGTCATATATCATATTTATTTCTTTTTAAATCGAGAAAATAGACATTTATTGTTTGTTCGTTATACGTTTGAGTAATCGAGTTTAAAGAAATCTTGCACATAAATTGACTTTACCAAAATCATTACCAAAAAATATATAGAATAATTTAAATGCGTGCATGGTAATAAATATTGTAATTTCTAACATTGCAATATATTATCCAGTTTTCAATTATCTATTTAAAAATGTGTAAATTAAATATGAACTTAAATATTAAAAAAGTTTTTTGCTTAATCTTAAATTTTTGATTCCAAGGACATTTCGCAACATTATTATAATAAATAAAATTAAACTTTTTGTTAAATAAATAAAATTTAGAAATTTAGAAAAACATGTAATTCTATTCCTAAATAGGAAATGTATAAAAATTATACTAATGAAATAAAAGATTCCTAATGAAATGTCGGCAATTTTGGAAAAAATATAATTTAAAAAGAATTAAGATGTGCTCATCACGTTGATACCGTAATACTATTAATTGCGTTCTATATATTTTCTATGTATCCTTAAAAAAAGAGATGCATAATATTCTGTTTTTAGCGACTTACCTTGTATATTAAAAATCAATGCCTATTATAATATAGTTCCTTTTTCTTTACAATCAAAAGAATCAATTACAATTGTTTCACGAGCGTTAATATTGTTACACCTTAACCACTCATATATTTAGACTATCGTAATCTTTCCGTTTCGAGAAGTAATCGAGAACTAACAATGTCGATGTCACACATCATAACAAAATAAGGCTAAATACATAAGGCTGTCTTAGAATATTGATGTAATAGATATCATAATAAATACGTTAGGTCAAGTTCTACAAAATTTAGGATGGATTAAAATCTATATTTGTATTTTAAGAATCATTAATATGTTTCTGTTAATTTTCGAATATTTTTATTTTGTTGTTAATTTCATATGTACTTTTCAATAACTAATAAAATAATATTCGAAATAAAAATAATAAATGTTAAACTATATAAAACATTACTTTTTATGCTAATATTATAACAAATATTATATATATAAAATTATAGATTGACAATACTTGAACAGAAATTGTAATATGATAATATTATATAAGAATAATATTTTCAAAATATTGTTGCACTAGTAAATCGTCATCGAATGCTGGAGTGATATTTTTGCGTTTTTAACATCTCGGAGCAGTGCGAGGTGAATTGAGACAAAGCGAAGAATAATGACAGGATTCAAAAGAAACAGCGAGTATATCGTTTTGATCTAGGAACAGATTAAAATGTGAAAAGAAAAATTATCGATTTATTAAAAAATACAATAATATTCAAAAAATATAATGGGAGCAATTAATTCCAAATCTCTTACAAACAAACTAAAACTTTTATTATTGAAGCTTTAATTAGGCATACATAATGAATTATTATATTTGTTACAATATGCTAGCTTTCAGTTCTCGATCCGCATATTTAATGTCGTTTACAGAGCTTTAAATTAATGTTTATGATATATGTAGAACTATCTATGCAAAAATATTCTGAAAGTTGACGGAGTTTCCGATTTTTTGTTATATATGATTAATATGTCGCTCAGTTTTTTATAATTATTTGTCTATACCATACGTCAAATGATCGCGCAAAGAATCTGAAATGGAAGTTACACAAAATAGATGATTTTACGAAAATTACGGTATCGATGTATACAATTTTGCTAAAAGTATGTTCTGCAGACTTTTATAATTTTATTTTCGAATTTTTATTTTTATTTCTCTCTAACATCACGTTGCACTAAACGATATTATGCGCGTCAGTAAGTCGTAATTATTTACTATTATGGTGTTATTAAATTGTAAATTTTGACTTAGTTTTAATATATTGCACTGCACTTTTTTCATAGTAAATATATGAAGATAAGTTAAAATATTTATGTAAAAATTGATAATTTTGTATTTAATCTTTAAAAGTTAAAATATTTTACGCCTTTCTTCCGCGGCACATACATTTTTAATAAAAAGTTTTTTATTTATTAAAAATGCAATAAATATATGTATATTATTTGAAGACGTTTTAAAGTGCATGTTTTGTTAAGCTTTAAAAAATGCGTAATAAATAGATATTAATGAATATTAATTAATATTAAATCCAGGCAAGATATAAATTCTTAATAAAAATTTAGTAGAATATAAAATGGATTTTATAATATTTTCTGTTATAATCCATGCTAAAATTAAAAAAATTGCGTGAAATATTAACAAAGATTCATAAATAATACTAATTCTTTTTAATTTGTTAAAATCAACATTAAATATTTAATAGATTGTCGCAAACAAAAATATTAGCAATCCATCATATACAGGTTTGCTTCTTTTTAATTAAGTTAAACTATCTATAGATTTATAGTATGTGATAATATTTAGTATATGTTATAGTTTCTCGTCAAATTATATGCATTAAAAGTTCACAGAGCGTGAAAATATTTTTTTAATCATGCTTTTATTTTTAATATATTGTTTTTCAAATTAAAGTCAATTCATGTCACGCAAATTTTAGAGATGTTACGAGCCCTTTCAGTCTCTTTCTAATTTTACATGTAAGTTCATTCTTAATTCTTCCAACAATATATTATAATGCTCTTCGTAAAGCTGTAACGTTTATTCCCTCTC